GGCCCTCTCTCTGCTACCTCTAAGCCTTTGACCTTACTTATTCCCCACCAGGTTCAGAATTCTCAGCACTATTTGTTCCTTGCTACTGGGACACCTGAGAACAAGGCATGGACACTTTTTACAGCCTCAGAATGGGTCTCTTGATTTCCACTCCTTCCTCCCACCACCTTGCAGGCCACAGGATCTTATAAAAAGAGCAACCAGAAAAATGACCTTTCCTTGTCTCCTCACACGAAAAACTGAAGCGACCGGGCTCTGCCTGATCTTCGTCTATTCCTAGCTCACTTTGCTCCAGCCTCCTGACCTGCTCCTTCTAACGCTGTCAGTACAGGAATAAATGTTCCCGCAGCTTCATTGTAACCCACTTCTCGGTGAAACGAGACGGCTGGCCCAGCCACAGGGCCTTTCCACTTCCAGACACTTTCCCAGGATCTTCTCACGGCAGATGAGCTCATACATAACGGTATGTTATGTATGTTATGAGCTCTTGCTCGCGCACTTCCTAGGCACTGTCTAGCACATCGTCTTATCGCATTGTCTTCCTGGCTCTTGTCAACTCTTGAGATCATTTCTATTTACTTTCTGATTGTCCGTCTGGCCCCCCGGCATGCAACGCCACGAAAGCACGGCCTCTGTCTATCACGTTCTCTGCTTATCCCGAGCGCAGGAAATAATGCCTGGGACACAGTGCGCATTCCATGTTTACTAAGTGAACGGATGAATGAATGCATTCGCTGTTTCTGGAAAGACCAAATATGCCCCACCCAGTCCAAAAACTACATCGCGTCTGGACGTTCTTGGCCAAGCCGAGGAAGCCCAGGGCCGGCGCTTCTCTCACCATCTGAGACCATGGCGGCTCCAGCACTCCCACGCAATGCCAGCAGCAAACAAGCATCCGGAAACAGCCGGTCCCGCTTCCGGCGCCACACAGTGACGTAACCTCATTTGGCCCGGGCCGCGCGCCGTACGCGCAGTCGCGCCCCCGGTGCGCCGGAAGTGGGAGGTACCGAGCCGCGCGGCCCCGCGCCCCGCGCTGTCAGTCTCGCGGTGAAGAGCCGGGAGCTTCCCCGGTTCCATCGAGGCTGCGCGGGCTGCTCGGGACTTCGCTGTCCGGAGTGCATCATGGACGACAAAGGTGAGGCCGGCCGGAGCCAAGGAGCCTAAATTAGGGCGCCCGGTCCCCCGCTTCGCACAAACAGGCAGCTCTCTGAGAGGTCTCCTGCCAAGTTCAGGTTGCTCGGTGCGATGCGCTACCTACTGCACAGACCACAGCTCTCTTGTGTAGGGGTGGACCCCGGGGGGATCCGCCAGACCCCACTCCCCCGCGCTCCTTCCCACATCCATCCTCCAGAAGAGCGAGACTGGGAACCCAGGGTGCCGGCCTTCGAAGCCAGGCGTTCTTGGTGTGTGAAGGAGGAATTACTTCTGCCTATTTGATCTGTTACAGTACATATGTGTTTGCAGACAGTCCCAGAATATCTAAAGAGTTCAATTCCTAAGCCTGCCATTAACTCGAATTTGTACAAAAGTCAAAACAGGTACAGTTTCTAACATCTGTTAGTGTATGGGTAACTCTAAAAGAAAAATCACTTCCAGATGCACTAGGACATCTTTAGCATCACAGTAGTCATGTTTTGATGGGTGTTGCAAAGTAGCACACGGTTGTTATTAGGAACCATTGTTTAAGTACCTTGGACTTTTAATAAGAGACTTTTGGGAGGTTGTCTATAAACCCTGGCTGCTTGTAAATGAATGTGCTGGAATGAGGTTGTCTGCTTCCTTCAAGGTTTATAGCCTTGGAAACTCACAGGGGCAGTTCTACAATGTCCTGTAGGGTCGCTGAGTCAGAATTGACTCGTTGACAGTACGTGGCTTGGTTTGTCCCCTAGAGGAACGGAGAGCTGGTGGTGCCGTGGGTTTAGCATTGACTGCAGAGTTGTTGGTTTGAATTACCAAATGCTCTTCGGGAGAAAGATGAAGCTGCCTGCTTCTGGAGAGATTTGCCACCCCAGAAACCCCCCGGAACAGGTTCGCTCTGTCTTGTAGGCCTGCTGTGCCTCAGAATAGGCTCGATAGCATTAGGCTTGATTTGGGTTTGGCTCCTGGAAGGATGTAGAAGACACGTCCACATCACTGAGTTTGATTAGTCACTGTTTTCTCCCTTCCCAGAGTTAATCGAATACTTTAAGTCTCAGATGAAAGAAGATCCTGACATGGCCTCGGCAGTGGCTGCCATCCGGACTTTGCTGGAGTTCCTGAAGAGAGATAAAGGTGAAGGGCATGGCATGCCTTGGGGTAGCCGTCTGATAGCTCTTAGAGAAGTGCAGGAACTACGAGATGTGTGTGTGTGCTCACCACCACGCTCACCCTCATCTGCCATGTAAACTTTCCTGGTAGCTTGCAGAGTCCTCCAGTTACCATCAAAGCACCCTTCACTCCTCCTCCCCATTCTTTCACCTTTGAGTAGTGACGATTTTATGTACCATCTTTTTTTAAATGTTCTCTCACTTGTTGAGAACATCCGTAGTGGTACACCGATTCTGCATTCTCCACTGGTACCATTTTAGGACACTGATTCCATTCTTCAAGTGGTACACCCATTCTCACCCTCCCTCCCTTCCTTCCTTTTTTAAAAATCATTTTACTGGGGGCTCGTATAACTCATCACAATCCATCCATCCATCCATCGTGTCAAGCACATTTGTTGCCATCCTCATTCTCAAACATTTTCTTTCTACTTGAGCCCTTGGTATCAGCTCCGCATTTTTCCCCTTCCCTCCCTTCCCACCCTTCCTCACCCTTCCCTTCTAAGCAATTTCTCTCTGTGACCATAAACTCACTGACAAGGGACGGGCCCCTTTTTCTTAAGTGAAGCTTCCTTCCCGTCAGAGTAACTAGGTATCTCAAGGTAACCACGAAGTTTAGACTTGAGCACCAGTTCAGCTTTACCAGTGTTGACGAGCATTTTCCCTGTGCACATGCTAGAGGCAGTCAATATCCGGGAAGGAATTCCGGTATTCGTGTTACATGCTAGGATCTGTTCATTTAGGCATCCTGAGGGTCAGTAAAGGGGGATGGTGCATTGTTGTAGAAGCAAAGAACAATGAGGAAGACCCCTCCACAGGCTGACCTAGAGATGCATGTCTCTAAGACAGCTTCCAGAGCCTTTCCCTTGTCCTTAGAGTAACATCAAAACCCCCAAGCCCCACCCATGGCACCTTACAGACCCCTCTGCTTCCTAGCTCCCTCTCTGTGGTTCCTGACTGATCCAGGCTGGCCTTTCTCTTCCCTGGGCTTGTGCATGGTTATAGCCTGGAACCTGTCCCCCCAGATCTTTCAGGGGCTGGATCTGTCCTTAGGTCCCTTACCAGGGGCCACCCTTGTCAACGCTTCCCAAAGGAGCTCCACCTTTCTCTTCCATCGGCTCTTTTCTGCCCATAATCAACCTGCCTGTTTACTCGTGTGTTTGTTGACTATCTACCTTCCCTCACCCGACAGCAACTTTCCACCAGAGCAGGGACCTGGCGTGCTGCCCTCGAGGATGAGTTCGCAGTATCTACCACAACCCTGGCTTAGCATAGGCTCCCTGTAAATAGTCCCTGAGTGGCTGGATCTCGGTCCCCACCAGGGCTAGGGGGGCTAAATGAACATGGGCCTTCCAGGGGAGACTATCCAGGGCCTGAGAGCGAATCTCACCAGCGCCATAGAGACCCTGTGCAGCGTGGACTCCTCGGTGGCCGTGTCCTCAGGCGGGGAACTCTTCCTGCGCTTCATCAGCCTGACCTCCCTGGAGTATTCGGTGAGCCTCGCTCCTGCCTCCCTGATTGTTTCCTGGGAGACTCTGTGCCCTTGCCCCTTCTTCTCCCCTGCCACTCACACTGCTCTCCCCCCTGCAGGATTACTCCAAATGCAAGAAGATCATGATTGAGCGCGGCGAGCTCTTCCTCCGTAGAATATCACTGTCCAGAAACAAGATCGCAGAGCTGTGCCACACATTCATCAAGGATGGAGCGGTGAGGAGGCTCCTGTTCCGTGGGCGGGGCAAGAGAGGGGTGAGGGTTCTGGAGTCCAAGGGCCCCAGGCAATATCTGGTGCTGCCACCCATTTGCTGAGCACCCTTCGCAGCCTGTGATGTTTTATAAGATCCCAGGCTTGGCAGCCTATGATCTGTTTTATAAGAACACTTGGCAGCCTGTGATCTGTTTTATAAGATCCCAGGCTCCCAGAGAAGGCACGCTCTCAGGTTCCTTGTACACGGCCAGTTACACTGGGGAAGCTTGGGGTGTGGAGACAGAGTTCCCAGCTTCTCTCCCAGAATCCCTTGCCTGGATTCCACGCCCCCCCCCCCCCCCCCCTCTTTTGCCACACCAACTCACCTTCATTCACATATCCTGCCTGGTCCCTGGGTGCTAACCATGCCTCAGAAATGGAAAAACCACCCAAGGGAACACGGTGGAGCCTTCAGAGACAAAGGTTTGGGGGCGGGGTTGGGTCCCATATCTGCACAGCTGAGACAGGGAGCTCCTCAGATCCCTCTGGCAGAAGCCTGCTCCTCTTTCTCCGTGGCCCTGAGACTGGGGCTCTTGAGCCCTCCTCAGACTTCCCTGGACTCCCGGCCTGATGCAGCTTTCTCGGTCCACCCACAGAGGATACTGACTCATGCCTATTCCCGGGTGGTCCTTCGAGTCCTGGAAGCAGCCGTGGCGGCCAAGAAACGTTTCAGTGTGTACATCACGGAGTCGCAGCCAGATCTATCAGGGTAAGTACCTCCCATCATGTGCCCAGCAGTCACCTTCCACAGCCAAGATAGCGTGAGGGCCTGGCCCCATCTGCAGTCTGCCGGCATTACCTGTGCCCTTCCGTGCCCCGGGGAGGAAGGCCACTGACGGGCGGGTCCGGGCACAGAAGCTCGAGCTCGAGTGCACAGCCTTCAGCAGGTCTGGCAGCACCATTGGCCCAACAGCCCGTGCTTGCTTCGTGGCTCCGCGTTGCCCGGGGTCTCTCCCACCGTTTCAGGCCCCCTGAGAACACGCTGGTGCGCCAGCATCCCTCTGTACATGCTGCACCACGACAGCAGCCACCTGTGTGCCGTGTGCAGTCACTGCATGGTCTGGAAGCAAACCCACACTCTCCCCGAGGTCTGCCCATGGTTAACGCTGAGGTTCCATTATCGACTCGGTTTGTGTTTCGTGGCCAAACCCCAAGAATAGTTTCCTGAAGTAGACACGACCTCCCATAGACGCCCCGATTCTTGTTGCGTGGTCCAGAGTCTCCTCCGGTTAGGCCATCACCACTAACTCCTTTCCACCTACTGTGTGGTCTATCACTGTCCAAATTAAGGGACTCTTCAGACACCACAATGGGGCTGTGTAACGCCAATACTCTCAAACTGTCACCTGCAGTAAGAAAATGGCCAAAGCGCTCTGCCACCTCAACGTCCCCGTCACCGTGGTCCTGGACGCTGCTGTTGGGTAAGTGCCCATCTTGCCTGGCCAAACCACGCCTTTTTTTCTTCATGGTTAAATCAATTTTAAAATGAGTTGTAGAGAGAGTCACAATCAGTTCTAGTGCTACCTCCCTACCCCCGAAATCCCCTATCCTCCCTATCTCCCATCCCCCACCCCTAGATCCCCTATAAACCCTTGTACCAGTTATTACCTCATGCATCTACTCCTTTGCTTCACAAACTGGAAAACCCAACAAATAGTAAAAATTAAATGTAAGAATAAAAATACAAATAATGAGAGAGAAAAGACCACCATCAATATTTAGAAAGCCAGAGAAGTACATTTTGTCTCGGAACAAGGAAGAATCACTTGCACCCAGAACAAATTCAGGTCAACTGACCAAGTATCAAGTTTGGTTCAGCAGAATCAAGATTACAATGATCTCTATTTGATAGTAAGGGTGTTTGAGACCCTTGCCTATGGCTAGAGGGGATCTTCAGCTTCATCTGACTAGCCACTCTGCAGATGGGCTTTGGGCTCCCCCCGTTCTTCATAGCCTTCTGCGAATTGGCGTTCGCAGTTTAAGCACTGGTACTTTTCCCTTCGTTGTGGCACAAGGTCTCCCTTAGTCACACACACAGTCACTCCTAAGACCAGGGAGCCCTCCCTTCTCGGGAACACAGCGCCTAGCACAGATAACTGGCGAAATGAGGAAATGGCTCCAGGGTACATTTTGAGGACTTCCACCTCTTGTTCACTTACAAGGTGCAACTGTCTTTGTCCTGTAGGCTTCTAAAATTAGAGCACGCTGTAACTTCCTTGTAGAGCAGAAAACAAGGCGCTTCAGGCAGTCAGACGACACCGACTTCTCACCAACCTTGAAGGAAGGTAGTGTCAGGAACTCACTACAGTGCACGCAGTGTTAATCTTTGCAGATGACGCTACTACAAACAAGGACAAAGGATAAAAGGGCTTTTTTCATCAATTCCCATAGCTATATCATGGAAAAGGCAGATCTTGTCATCGTCGGTGCCGAAGGAGTTGTTGAAAATGGAGGCATCATTAACAAGGTAGGAGCCTCTGTTGGCCATGCTTGCTCCAGGTGTCGGGGTGCACTGCTGGTGGAGGCCCCTGAGCCCAGACTGTCTCCTGGTTTGCTCAGGTTCAGGACTTGAGCGTGAACAGTGAGCTGGGCCTGGCTCCTGTAGGCCATGGCAGTGATCAGACGAGGAAAGGGCTCCTTTGGCGCTTGGTCTGCATTGAGATAGTGCAATCTGTACGTGCTCGATGCAGGCTTCAATTAGGATTTGGATTTACTTATTTCTATGTTGGCTGGGCATGTCTGAGCTAAATGTGTTTGTTAGCAATGCATCTATCCATCGCCTGGCTTGGAAAGGTTTTCTTGTTGAAAAGTCAGAATCGCACGTTGGTCGTGTTGGCTTGTGCGCTGTCACTCCTGCTTCACTTGGACATCAGGACTCGCCCTTCTCTGCCTCCCCAGATTGGAACCAACCAGATGGCTGTTTGCGCCAAGGCTCAGAACAAGCCTTTTTACGTGGTGGCAGAAAGCTTCAAGTTTGTCCGGCTTTTTCCGTTAAATCAGCAAGACGTCCCAGATAAGTTTAAGGCAAGAGCTGTACGTTATTTGAAGGGGTATTTAAGTCAAGATGTAAACTTTTGGAAAATTGCAGTGATGGAAATGACCCAGTTCCCTTCCATCTTGGGCTTTAAAGATGAACTGGCCGCTGTTGAAGCTAAAACTGGTACATTCATTCCCAAAGCTCAGTCCCCTGGTCTCTCCTTCCCATAAGCACTGTGTTAAAAGGACACAGGAAGCTAAGCTGTGGTACCGAACTGTCTGTGTTCAGCTCCCATCTCCACCTCTTCCTTCCACATGGCCTTTGGGCCTGCCTTCCACCTCCCTGAGCTTCCCACTTCCCTTTGCTTATCTGTGAGTTAGGTGGATTGTACCCAGAAGGGGGAAGAAGATTAGCTGGAGAATCAGGGAAGGGTTGAGCACAGTGGCACACCCAGCACCCTCTGGAGGGGAGAAGGAATTCCACTCAGGCCCTGCCAGTGTGCCCTGGCCACAGCAGCACCTTGCCCTCCCCAGCCTTCGCTTCACTTCCTGTGGGCACTTTTCCAGGCCACAGTCCCAGCAACCCAGAGCCCTAACCATGCAGGCAACTAACGACCACTCTCTCCCCCTCAGTATAAGGCGGACACGCTGCGGTCGGCGCAGACAGGACGAGACCTCAAGGAGGAGCACCCATGGGTGGACTACACCTCCCCATCCTTAATCACACTGCTGTTCACAGACCTGGGTGTCCTGACGCCCTCAGCCGTCAGTGATGAGCTCATCAAGCTCTACCTGTGACCCCTGGGCCATCTCTCCCGTGTCTGCAACTGTAGCAGGGCGGGCCTCAGACCTCCTGGCCCCGGCGGAGAACCATGCCACAGCAGAGCTTTTTAAAGGAGACCCACGGACTACGGACTTCAAGTCGTCCATTTTTTTACTCATCTCACTCCCATCTCACGTGTCTGTGGTTCTCCCAAGACCCAAGTGAAATTTTACATGAGGTTCCCAGAAATGCCAGTTCTCGGCCACCTGAGGAGCCCCCATCACCTCTCTTCCTCTTGCCCTGTACCGATCTGCCAGAAGCATCCAGGCCCCTTCTCAGGACATGCCTGAGGGCCACCGGGACGTGATGACTTGGGCCTCATAGAGAGGCAGGCAGTATTTGAGTTGCCCAGTCACCCGGCTCCAGATCAAGGCCTGGTACCAGGGGACACAGGACAGCGGGTGCGCACTGAGCAGTCACAGCCCCGAGATTCCGTGCACAGGGGTGCCCTCCCACTGGTGAAGCTGTGTCTCAAAGGCATGACGTCCTTTAAACAC